CACTAAAATGCATCCATTATATAAAAAGTAAGCCAAAGTTGCTTATGTTTTATAATAAATCTAGAGTATCTTCACTGAAAAAAATAATTTATTTAATGCAAGGATATGAATGAGCAATATGTTGGTTCTTTCTCAGAAAAATTAACATTCAATGAAATGGAAAAATTATCAGAAATGTTAGAACTATGAAATTACAAAATGCCATTTTCATATGAATCACAATGTGCCCAGGCCATGCATTGTGAAGCATATTACAGAATCAGGAATTTAGCAAGATGCAGACAATCATGACAAAAATCAACCAAGTAGTAATAATAATTAATTTCTCAAAAGGTACCTGAAGAAGCATACCTGTTTTACTCTTTAAAAGGGAATAAGATAACCTGCAATTATTTGAGAGCAAAAGAGGATTTAATCTGGGGAAAACTTATTAAGTAACTGTGCACATGAAAGATTCTTCCAGCAGCAGTTTTTGATGAACGGTCAGAGAGAGTAATCTGGGGCAGGTGGGCATGTAGGATTCATGCAGTAATTCCAATTATTTTCTATACTCATGATAATGCCTGTCCATTTGTTGTTTTTTTTTTTTTTAATTTCACGAACTGACCCAGTTAAATGTTTGTGTATTTAATATGCCCGAGAAGCTATAATTAGACCATTTTTAATTATTCATCACTCTTAACTCTTCTCTCGAGTGCAGTAATTCAATACAACAGTTCTGAATACTGGAACAGCACCTTGTTGTGAGGAACTTTCTGACAATACTTAAGCTTCTGTTTCTCATATGTGATTTTTTCCAGTCCTGCAATTTTATGTGAGGACTAATAATTGTCTTGGAATATTTGTCTTGTTATGAAAATTTGGCACTGTTTCTATCCTGGAAAAATGGTACAAATTCGTTTACCTAAATACATACATTTGAGCACAATGGAAATGGCTTTTTTTGTTTAAAAGTTAAAGTGTATTTTAGGCTTATCAGCCATACTGTACTGTGACTAACTAAACTTGAAGTCCTCTGTTTATTTGCAGAGCAGCTATTATGCAGATCACGTAAGCTGTGGCATGTTTTCTTCTGTTATTTTCGAAGTGTTCTCTTCAAGATAATCAGCAAATAATTTACTTTTCTGCTTATTCAGGACATGATCAAACCACTGGAGTTAGTATCAAGGTCACAGAGACTCCAAAGAGCTCTGGACAAACATTTATGAAAAATGCCACAAAAGTATTAAGCAGTACCAAGCTGTGGTATGTCATATTTGCATATACCCATTCCTGTGATCTGGACTGAGGCAACCTACATGTTCTTGCTCAGCAGAAAACATTTCAATAGGTTGTTCAAACAAACCTAAGCTAAAATGACTCCCTAGAAATGCTGAAAATATGTTTTTAAATTCATGCACCAATTAACAGGTAAAGCTCATTATTATAGCTATGATGATACCTGTGTTGACTGTTAATGTCAGGTTAAAAAGTAAATTAGTATTTAAGACCATACACCAAATGAATAATTTTACAGAAGTGTGATTTACCGCAAGTGTGGAATTACATTATCAATTTACTTCATCACATTTCACCTCCTTTGTAAAAGCTGAAGTGCAAATATATTTAACTCACTCAGCTGCATTGACTTTCTCTAATTAGTATGCTTGACACCTGTCTGGAGACAAATACCATTTTTTGACATATACTTCTCCTGGAATTCCTAGGCCCATGCTTAGTTTTTTTCTGTAATCTTATTGAGGCCAATGAACTATGTAGTTTCTACTCAGGTTCCTACATTCAAGTCAAAAATACTCTATTTTATGTGGTATGAGACGATTTCCAGTACTGCAGCATGACGGATAATAGCTGGAAGCAGGTTTGCTGTAAGGTATCCTGAAACAGTGCCACCCAGGGGTTATGTACGAGATATGCTCTTCTTGCTGTAGACCTGAACATTCCCAAGTAACCACATTTCGAGCTAGTGCCTGTTCAAAGGTCCAGGGTTAACCCTTGAACCTCACACCACCATTGTGCACTGATTCCTATGCACAAGCAGACTGCAACCTGAGATGGCCACAAAATATACACATTTTTGTAGAAATGCAATGAAAACATTGTATTTGTACATTGTAAAGCAAGCCAAACTCCCCCTTTTGGAGTGCTTTCCTGTTTTGCTGAGTGATTTTTACTATCATACCTTCCCCTGCTTTTGTCCCCCAGTTAAATTCAGCCTCTGAGAATACTACACCTTCTGAAAAGATGGAGATAGACATTATGCTGTAGATGTGGAAGAACATGGCTAAAAGGGTACCTCTTGTAAAAAGTAGCAGAGGTGATGTTGCTGTGCTTATCAAGCCCCAAATTCAAACACAAATCCCTGGGGACCAGTTTTTTGAAGGAGCAAGACTTTTGCCTTGCACAGCAGCTATGGGTGCTGTGTTGCAGCTGCTACAAATAGAAGCCTTGGTTTCTTGCAGTGTGAGTGGAGATACAGGGTGGTTTGCAGCCCTTCTTTCATCATGAAGGCATGGGCAAGTCGGGGCATGTTCCCAGCAAGTGTGCTTGCAAGAGCTGGTTGGGGTCCCCTCTCCCTCTTCCTCCAGCTGGCTGAAGTGGCCTGATTTATAGGGAACTGTGGTTGCTGCTCTGTCATCCTCTCTGAAGGAGGAAGAAGCTGCCAGTCCCTTCTCACTATCCCTCCTTGGTGTATGCAAAAGGCCATCCCTCTCCATCTGTCTTTCCCCATGTAGTGCCTCTGGCTCAAAGGGGCCAGATCTCTGCAGCTGTTGTGCCCACTAAGTCAAAGAAGCCCTTGGTAATATTTCTTCTGGTTCTGGGGCAGAGCAAAGTGGGTGGCATCTTGCAGGACTCAGTTTCTTCTTATTTATAACTTTGGAGTCTTCCTGCCTGTCTCAGACTGATGTATTAGGAAATTCACTCCTGTTTCTCTCCTGATGGAGGTAAAGCTGGATTCTGGATTCTGGATTCTAGATTCTGTGTTAGGCCAGAAAAAATATTTATAGGGAGATAGATGATGGACTGAATATATTCCTTCTCCCAGCCCCATTCTCATTCCTTGCCATCCCCAAAAACAAACAAACAAAAAAGTTTCACCACTTCATTGAGATTATCCTCTGTAAAAGTGCAGGATAATTTGGATTGGAAGGGACCCTTAAAGACCATCTACTCCAACCCTCCTGCAATAAGCAGGGACATCTTCAACTAGATCAGGTTGTTCAAAGCCCTGTCCAACCTGACCCTGAATGTTTGCAGGGAGGGGGCACGCACCACTTCTTTGAGCAACTTGTTCCAATGTCTTAACACCCTCATCATAGAAAATTGTCTCCAATTTTTTATCTCTAATTAAAGTGAGCTTTAATGAGCTCTAGGTGGGTGTATCTGGAAATCTCAAGTCTGTGGCAAAGCCTTGGTATTTATAAAGAATATACATAAGAAATTGTGCATAGGTAAAGAAAGCCTAATGGTTTAACAAACTGAAGACTTGGCTGCATATCTGTATTTAATATTGAGAATACTTGCTATACAAATCTCTCTCTGCTCTTTTTCTGTCAAAGTCTTACACAAATTAGATGTTTGTATGTGCAAAATTCAAGTAAAACATTTTTTTATTCCTTCTTTGAAGCATACCATCTATGATCTTAGCAAGGTTTTACATTTGTCCTCCTCCAGCATTTCTGGTTGCCATTATATTTAGAACATTTTGGCATGTTTTTCAGGTGTTGTAAAAGCTATTTCTACAAATGCTTTAATGGAACAGTTGCGTTTAAAATACCAACAAAGGCCATGGACTGAAACTCTGAGACTTGTTTATTTTTGCATGGTAAGAATCACAGATTAGGTGAGAGAAGGATATGTGGTATAAGAGTATGTTTCCAAGGTAGTTAAAAAATTGCTTGACTTTCAAAAACAAGGCAAACCAACCAACCAAAAAACCCCATGCAATCCAAAACCAACCAAAAGATAATCCCCAGAAAAACCTGGTGCCTCGTATAGCCTGGCTCCCCATTTTTCTTAGGACAATGGGTTACAAAGTTTCCTGTCTGATTTTAACACTTTAGGGGGTTGTTTATTGCAATGTTTTAACTTGTTTTAACATTGTTTTAACATTGTTTTAACATTGTTTTAACTATTCAGGAGTTAGTATTGATTGTCTACCAGTTGAGGTTACATTCACTATCATTACCATATTCATAGTATGTAAGGAGAATTTATTGCCTATAGGACTAGGAGGAAATATTGTATTTTAGAAACTGGTCTGATATCTGCTATCTAGACTTTCTGCTGCTGTAATATACCATTCCATGCTTCCTGCCCTTCCAGTAGCTGATTTAAGAATGATTGTTGTAAAGAGCAGATTAGCACAACTGCTGTGAGCTCAGTATAAAAATTCCCATTTGTTTCCACGCTTTTTTTTATTAATGCTTAACTCAAGCCTTACTCTGAAAACAATGTCCTGAATTTGAACAAAGTGAAAACTCTTCAGCAGTGAGTGTTCTTTGTAAATTGAAATGTGGAATTTGAGAAGTTTTCAGGCAAGAGCTTGAAGACTACCTGGGAGAGTTTGCTTGCCACTGAAGTGAATGGCTTCACAAGCTGAAACTTGTATTCTAATCTAACCAAGTACTTCTGTGGCACTTACTGGATCTCTTCTATTCACTCAGGCAGATTTTTTCTAAAATAAAAACACAAGTATTTTCTTAGTTTATCTCTAGCTTCACAATGCAATTAGCTGACAGATCTAGTGATCAGCTCAAAAGACAGGGGAATGGAAAGCCATTCCTTGCTCCAAGGCATCTGGTATGTAATTACTGCACAATAATACCTTGACAAATCCATTCAGTGCAGCCATTTCAGAGATAGCTCCAATCGTAGGTAACTTCTGTGTTTGACAAAAACAAATAATCAGAGGTTTGTTGTACGGGGCATCTGTGTGCTCTGCCTCTTAGCTAGTAATTTAAGGAATCTTTCTTTGTCTCTTGTTTTCACAAATGTGCTAGGATAACGCACTGCGAAAGCCCGTCAGTAAAGCTCCAGATGGTCTGTTGCTTTCATGCATGGAGAAGATACAGAGGACACTAAATGGTAATGAGCTGTTGGATAACTCAAAGTACATTTTTAAAAATATTGTATGGAATCTACCAATCCTTCTCTACTGATGTTCTTCACAAAGAGGTCAAAAGTACAAACACAGAGGTGGATAAGAGACAAGAGACTTGCAACTCATCTTTGGGCTAAGCCTTCAGGCTATAGTAATCTTAAAGCCTGAGAATATTTGCTACACAGCACAGAACTTATTAGTCATTAGTTGTCATTAATAACAAGACATTCAAGAGGTACTGTTTTCCTCTTACCTGTTCTTTAAAACAAGAAAATACTGGTTCTACTCCTTGATCATTGCAGTTTGATTAAATTGCCTTTCTGGTTTTTGCAGCTCAATCCATGTTTTCTGTGATGAATGTGTTGGAACGTTTATCCAGACAAAAAGGGTAAGTTTGTTTATGAATAAATGCAAATGAGCAGGCATGGCCTCAAGTCCAGAGAGGAATACTATCTGGATGGCTTGTCAACAATGTTATTTTTTAGCTCAGTGTTCCAAAGGAGTGTATTTGCCTATTTTGATTACCCCTTTGTGGAGAAGGTTTTTGGGTAAAGAGAGGGTATAAATGCCTACATCCCAAAGCTACAGACCAAGGTTAATAGTTTTGAGCTGACCAACATGATAATGCAAAGAGCAGAGCACAAATACACGCCTGGTTGGATAGTTTTCAGAAGCTGAGCCAAGGAAGAGTTATTTTTGAAGCATCCCTGGTGTCTCTTCCCATGACCAAGTGAACTATACTTATTTCCTTTTTTAAGTGACAGAATTTTTATATATACAAGCTTTTTTTTTTTTTTCTCATCCTTCTCAGACTTACTGTTCATGTTAGCCCCAGTGGGACAACCTGCTACATAACATCAATGATGTTTTATGTAGAAATTCAGCTGGAGGAGGATGGAGATGTGATGGATGTAAAGTTGGCTCACTTTGAAGAAGCTCCTGTGGTAAAATTAATTTTCTCTGTCTCTCATGACCCTGTAGTCTCCCACCTGGCTTCCAGCTGTCATGTCAGAAAGGTTTTAACTTCCTTTTGGTCTTGTCACACATGCAAGCCTGTTCATGACACTAGCTACCTCTTTAGGCATCTGAATCTCTCACCTAAACTTACAACTCAGTTACAGAAACTAAATACTCTAGTGCTAAGTATTACAGTAAAAGTCAGCTGACAGACTCACCTTCCAAGAATTTTGTGGTATCATGCATAAATATTTTTATTTTCATGCTTTGATGTAACCAGTATACAGTAAATAACAGGGGCTTAAAATATTTTCCTATTCTGCCTTCTTTAGGAGTATATGTATTTCCACTAGTGGGGATGTTTTTCTGGCAAAATTTCTATTAAATCATTCACAGAATATCACCCTGAAGTTCACATATCATGTTCTGCAGTTGTTACAGAATTACAGACAACCCTTACAGTCCAAGATATAACAACAAGCTGTTGTGGGAGAGTTGGGGGACATAAACTCTGTTTTTTGTCACTAAGTATCCAAATGATTACATTATTACAGTTATTACTTTGGAGTTAATTTTTGTCCATTATTTTTAGTTTAAGCCAGCCCTGAAATTTCAATTTGTTCATTTAACCTGCACAGGTCTGTTGATCAGTGAGTGCTGGACAATATCATTAGAATGAAAATGCACATTCAGAGAATTCTAGCACAACCAATAAAAGAAAAACTGGCCAAGATGCATTTTTTTTTTTCTGAAAGAGTTATCAACAAAATATTTCTGTTAATTTAATCCTCTTTCACAGAGCCTTTGTTCTTCCAATTATTATAGTAATATTTTTTTAACTATTGCACTGTTAGTCTTGGTTTTGAGTGTTGGGGATATTTTTTATGCTAACCATACAGCTACTTAAAAGTAATGGGCATCAAGCTTATAATTACTAATGAAGTGCTTATAGAAGATGTGACACAAATTGCAAGAAATATGAAACTCCTGTCTCTTGTTCCTGTAGGTTTGTGATGATTTGGTCCAGCTTCTAAGGTAAAGAATCACATATAGGGTTTCATGTTGAATGGAAAGGAATTCCTCATGTTAGAACCATTCCAGGGTAAAAACTGAAGAGGGAAAAAAAAAAAAAAGGAAAGGAAGAAAAAGGAAAAAAAGGAATTCCTCATGTTAGAACCATTCCAGGGTAAAAACTGAAGAGGGAAAAAAAAAAAAAAGGAAAAAGGAAAGAGGATCAGGGTACAATAACATAACAATCCAGAAGACAATAGAACTGACACTGTTTTGGATTACATTTTTTGTGGGAAGTTGGTTCCAATCCTCCATAATGGAAGTTGGTTTTCTTTGTAACTATTATTATCTGCTTTGAATTTGTAAATTCAAGGCTAAAACTGCAGCAAATATAATTTTGTAAAGATACTCCAGGCATTATTTATTTCTCAAGTCATTCCATCAAATGCATCTGCTTCAATGGAGCAAGGGTAAAGAGTAATCCCCAAGGTGTTGGCTCTAGCTGCCAGTCAAACACAGCTTTGGAATACTGGCCTCTGTCTTGATTTTAAGAATTATAGAGCTACTTGGACTCACAGTTTTGGTAATGGAATGATGATGACAATTCAGAACTGGCAGATTTACACATACAAACTAGGCATTACTTTTCCTCTCCTCCTTCCATCAAATACTAAATAGCCCTTGTATTGTCCTTATGCAAATACTTTAACTGCATGTCCTTCAGGCTTCTCTCAAAGCAATGAAAGCAAGGTGGTACCACATGGCCTGAGTTTCTTTGCAAATACACAGGGGGAGATGTGACCCTAAATTTCTCATGTAGCATTAGGGCACTATATATATATATATATTATTACCATGTTTTAATAGTTGCTGTTCCAGGTCAGGCCACCACTTTAAAAGTCCATTTTACAGGTTCTTCAGTGAATATGATCAAGGTTACAGATTTTAATAATAACGAGTATATTTAGGAAATTGGATTCTTAAATCCTGTGGCCGAATAGTAGATAGGGAAGGTAAAAAGAGAAAGAATAATCATTCACCTTTAGTGTTTGTCACAGTTTGACACTGGCGCAATGCCAGTGCCCCCATGAAAATACATTCTCCCTGGTGTCTGCTGTGATATGTGACCAGGAATAGAGCAAAGCAGGCTCCAACTTAGGAGTAAAGAAGAGAAAACTTTATTAACCTATAACTATATGTAAAAAGAAACACACAGAAAGGATGAAAACCTTCGAAAAGCATTCCTCCTCCCCCCACCAAATTCCCAATACATCCATCCCTCAGATCATCAACTCTCAGTCCATCACCACCCTTTAGATAATCAATTCTCAGTTCATCAAGGAGAGAGGAGTCTCTCTTGTGCCATAGGCTTCCCCTGGAAGCACAGTTGAGACCTCTTGTGTTTCCTGTCACACGTGGCACCACCTGGAGATCATTTGCCATGGTGACATCATCCTTCCATGTCCAGTGCTCTCACCACTGCACATGGACCAGAGCTGCTTCTAGGGTTCCCCTTTTAAGGGCGCTTTGCCCAGTTCCAAAAAAAGCACAGTCTCTCACTTTCGGGACATCTGTCCCTCCCAAATTCACGCTGGGGTCAAGGAGTCTCGAACACAGAGATCTTCTTCTTCCCTGAAGACAGAGGGCACCACCACCCTCCTCACCCATTGTCTCTGTTCGCGCACTCCTTCACATAACATCACTGCACTCTCTTGGCTCCAAGCCATTGCCTGCCCCCTAAATGCAGTCTCTGTGTCACAGGAAAAATGGTTCTGTCCATGGCTATACAAGAAAAGTCCAGCCAAAGGCCACTCCATCATCTCCTCCCACCTAAGATTCTTCTCCACTTCTCTCATGGCCCATTTGCTCTTATCTCTATCTCTCTTCTCATTCAGCTCCAGGAGGATTAGCATTTGTAAGGTTTCCATCATCCAAGAAAAGGGTTAAAAATCTCAGGCTCTGCCTGTCCAGAACTCCCATGGCTGCCCTGCTGGGCACCTTCTTGCCACACCCCCCCTTTTCCTTCTTGGCTGGCCGTGTTACCAAATTTCAAGGTGGCACAAGAACAGACACCAGCTCTCTCTCTCTCCTGGTGGGTGGGCGGCTGCCCGATGCCTCTCCATGCTCCTCCACTCTTCCAGCCTCAGGGCCCTGGCTCACCTCACCCCTCACCCGGCCGCACGGCTTCCTCTCCCCCGCCCAGCCCGCAGCCAGGCAGCGGAGCTATGACCTCTTTCATGGATGGAACCTGTCATGGTTTGATGCTGCTGCAATGTCAGTGCTTCTATGAGAGAAAAAGTTTTCCTGGGAGTTCCCTGCTTTTAACCCCTGTGTTCTCAGAGGCGTATCCATGTCCTCAGTGGCCACATCAGGTGCCAGTATTCAAATCTGAGCATCTATTGGTTTGACCACAGCATCCCACTCACTTCCTCTCAAACCAGGAGAGTGTTTAATCTTTTGTATTACTCATCATCAGTTTTTTCAGCCCCCTTTTTTCCTCAGAAATGAAGTTATATTAGCTCTATGAGTGTAAACAGCTATGACTTAAAACTTGAACTTATATTTTCCTAGGCTTTTGACTTCCAGTGATGTTAATGCCAGCAGTCTGGCTCTTGATCACTGGTATATAGTTACCATTGGTACTGTGGGTGCTGCTTTTCTGCCTTCCTGGCTTTGTTAAGATTTGTTACAAAGCACAGGTATCCCTTCTACACCTCTTGGTGTAGTATTTTATTTGGTTGTAAGGCAGTTTGTTATATGTGTAATGTTTCCCATCAGTCTCAAAGTAACTATAAAATTAAGATTTTAAGAACCAGCCAGCTAATGCATAGGCTAGTACTGTGTCTGTTTCTGTACCACACATGCCTGCTTCCCTCCTTTTTCCCTGCTTCCACACTAGTCCAGCTGGAAAGAGACAGAGAAGAGCTGAGTGACTTGTTTAGGTTCCAGGTTTGAAAGAGTTTGTCCCAGTGTAAAAGTTCAGGCAGGCCTATTTTGTCTTTGCCGATCCCCACTACTGCCACATCTGCATAGGAAAGATGGGTCGCATCTTCCACACTGCAGTCACACAGCTGTCTGTGTGACTGCACACCGGAGTCTAGTAAGGCTTATAAAACTCACATAAAATCTACTTAAGCACAGGTGGGTGAGTCTGAACACTGCTCCACGCTGCCTCACAACGTTGGAATCCACAGCAGTTCTGGGGTTTGAGCAGTCTGAACCATTCATTTACAAACCAAGACACTTGCCCCCTTTTTTTTTTTTTCTTTTTTTTTTGATTGATGTATCTATCAGTTATATTTAAGGTCTGTCTCTCTCACATGGTGCTGTGAATTGCAGCATTAATACAATTTTGATATTTTAAGATCAATGTATGCATGCAAGGTCTTAGGGAGGTAGTACTACATGATTAGCTTTATTGGAATATCAGGAAAAATGTTTTGCAGCTGATAAGCTGTCATATTTGTGTTTCATGTACAATTATTGCTTTCAGTAGTGCCTACTTCAGTGCCAGTTTCAGCTATAATTACAGTGCTTGCAACAAAATCAAAGATTCACATTTTCTGGTATCTTCTAAGAAAATTTAAATCAGTACTGCTGCTTGATCTGATAAGGAGGGGGCCACTGTCACTCTGAAATGGTGCCTTTTCTATTAAGTTGTGTATAAAAGAGTTATGTTCTATCTCATTTACTAGTGATAGTCATTATTTCATTTTTTTTAGGATGAAGAACTATGATGCCTTTGGCAAGATTCTAGAAGACCTGTCAAATATGTATCAAATTCCAGGAAACAGGTTGCAGTTATTTTTTACTCAAAAACTTTTGAAATTCATAGCCTAACTTTCATTTACTTACAAAAATAATAAATTGTCTTTTTCTCTCCCAGCGAAATGAAAGCTAAGGGATATCTTGCTTTGCAGGCCCTTGAAAAAGACCTTTATTCAATGTCACTTCTTGACAGGTAACTTACAGTCTATGTCTTTGTCCCTTTGCCTCTACCCACACCCCTTCATTTCACTAAAAAACAAGTTAACTGATCTAATTATAAAGCAGGATGTGGAAGGCTAATGAGTTTTCTCTTGCTGGGAAGCCCGAAGCCTTTGTCAACCCCAGACAAGCAAACTAGTTAATCTGTTGAACTCCTGTGCTTAATCTCAGGGACTTCCTGGGAAACTGGTTGGTTACAAAGCTTGAGGGTGTATGCACATGACCAACCACTGGGAGCAAACAGTGTGCCTGAAAGTCAGCAGTCGTGTTTAGATCTCCCTGTGGCAGAAGTAAAATAGACTTCTCGGGGCTCTGCTGTTTGGGTATCTTATTTTGTCCTCAGGTTTTAGAACAGGAGGAGTGGATGCCAGCTTTTCTTCTTCCTTTTCTCATTTGTTCTTTCATAGAGTAGGATTACAGACAGATAGGGAACAGTTTCCTAAACCTTCTGGTAATTGTACAAGGATTTTCATTGTTTTCAATAAATAAGAGTTGAGGACAGTGCTTTCCTTCTGGATTTTTGATATATCTTCTCTGATACCTTGCCTATTAAGTTACATACACACATACCTTGGCAAGTATGGCCTCCTGTAACTTGAAACACCCTCTTAGATTATTTTTGCAGTTTTCCCTTATGAAGCATAATAACACTATGAACTAATGTACTATATCCCCACTGGTCACAGATATCTCAGTAAATATTATTTATAAGTTAAACAGATTATTTGTCCCATCTCTGCAGAGTTAGTACACAGCTATGTAAATGTATGGCTGTATATATTTAGCTATGTGAACACACTTGAAGTCAGAGAGTGGTTCTGTCCAAGTTAGTTAACCAGGCTGTTTCTTCATTCTTTGCTCAACCAAAGAATTAGTTTGACCCCCTTTATTTCTGGTAAATAGCGCACCAAAGTTCAACATGAAAGAGCTCAGATACAGGGAAAGGGGAAGCCCAAGTCCCAGAAGTAATGCATGTGTGGAGTTGTGGTCTTTTGAAAGCTGGGCATACAATCTACTTCCAAGGAAACATTGTCTTCTTTTGATTAAGGATACAAATTAGAAATTACATTAGCCTAGCTAGCACTGTAATGCAGGAAACACTAATTAAGGTGTGTTTTGAAATAGAACACAGGATCTAAACAGAGTTACTGAAGTACTTCATGGAAAAGTAGGACACCTGGTGCCAAGAACTGGAGGTGATTTTTTTCCTTTTTTTTCCCCTTTTCTTCCTCCCCATTTTCTTTTTCTCCCCCCTCACTTTTTTTTTTCCTCTTTTCCCATTTCTGAATTTAAAGAATTGTAATCAAAGCACACTACTGAGTTGATCTTTGTGTACAGGAAAGATCCTCTACTATTAATAAAATCTGCTGTAGGGATTTACTGTGCCTGTATTCTCAGATAACATACAGATGTACAGAACATATATTGAACAGATATTGTAAGTAGAGATGTAGTCTTAGAAGGAATCCCCTCTGCCCATCTACAGTGTTGGTTTTTTCACCTTTATGGCAAGGCACCCAACGTATTTCCTCTACTGACCTGTGTAGTAACCATTATTTTTTTATTCCTCAGGAACCCCAATGAACATTGAATTTTACATTTCTCCCTATCAAGTTTTGGAAGCAGAACTAAATAATGGTAAAGCTATTTCAGCTGTTCTGCTGTTTCTGCAGAAATAGCTAACAAGAGTTTTTCAATACTACCTGTTTCATTAAGCAAAGTTAATTAATGAAAGCTCAGAATTAAAATTTAAAATTCTAGTTTAGTAGAACAATTTATGTGATGCATTTAAGCCCTGATGGACTTAATGTCCATCAGGAAATTACTTTCCATGTCTTGGTTGTTGATTCAGCTAATGCTGCTATCATCTTTCGGCAACTTTGGCCTTTTGGGTGTGGTCAATGTAGGCTTCTCTTCACTGCCCACACCACTGTGGTTGTCAGTTTGACTTGACCTTCCAAGTCCCTACCATATGTATTTTGTATGCATAGGATAAATATACACTAAATTAAGGAAAATAATGCCATTCTCTTTATCCCTAAGGTTCCCAGGTATGTGGAACAAAAACAGTTGTAACTGTTGAAGGCACAGATACACTGTACAAACTGCCTCTTTCTCCATTAATTATAGATCCTCAAGCTGGAGAGGACAGGTGAGGCTCTGGACACTTGTCAATACAGCAATGGATTTACACATCCCTGGCACTGACTTCCACATAACTTATATTTAGCCTCTGCTGAAACAGAAGTTCTGTTTTATTTATGGCTTTGTGCTCCACAGCTACACCATCTATAATCTGTGGCTTTTATGGTTTTCCCAAATGGACTTCGAAGGTATTTTGTTCATATTTAACTGTGTCAGTTGCATTGAACTATGAATTTATTCATAGATTTGAGGCCAGAAAGAGACACTGGAATAGTATTACTGAACTTCCTAGTATTCAACAAGCAAGTCCTTCATAGATTCATAGTAAAGAAAGCATATGCTGAAAGATATTACACCTAAAAGACACATAATAGTTTGTCATCCCACTATGGGTACTGACACCTCATCTCTCTCTACCTCAGTGTTGTCTGGAGGGGAAGTCTGAAGTAACTTTCTGAACTAAAATACTTTAAAATAATTTGTAAAAAACACCACTCAGTTTTTGTGTCTCACTTTTCCTTTCTGTCAGTTTTCACATTAACCATGTTTTAAACTAATAAAGTTGCATTTATAAAGCAAAACACTTCTCAAATTAGAAAATGTATGGAACATAATAAACTGCTAGGGCCTAACAGTGGCCTTGCATTTAGAGTCCTTGTTATGGCAATTCCTGTAAATAACCTTTCATTCTGACAATTTTTTCCTAGCAACCCTGCTTTTTTGCAACTGACTGATGAACTCAGCATGGATTTGCCAGCTCATTTTGTTCTGAAGTTTCATCAGCCTGTTCCAATGTCTTCATCCAGTATTGAAGAGATACAGAAGCTCACAGGCATGTTATAATTGCTTTTTAAGACTAAGTACTTCCGTGACTATGCATTGCTTATTTGCTTTTTGCTTCCCCATGTTAAAGTTGCAAGAAGAAGTTGCTTCTTGGGCAGAACATGTTCTGTTCTACCAGTCCAAGTGTAACAACCATTGCAAAACACAAAAATTCTAAGAAAGATGTGACAAAGGCAAAGTTAAACACTGTACCTCAAATTCCCAATAGCAAAAATTGGGAATAAGGAAGCAAATCAGTATTTTTGTCTTTTCAAAATATTGGGTTTAGTTTTTAATAATAGCTTTCATAACCTACTGTCTTAACCTAATTACAAATAATGACCTGGTTTCAGGAATTCAGATTTCTGGCTTCAAGCTAGCTCCACTGTATGAGCTAATTGTTCAGTCTACTCTTAAAGAAAAATGCAGTGAAGACTTGTCTACAAATAAATCTTGTTTCTTTGTGGTAAGTATAGTGTGCATCTGATACACACTGTGCTGTTGTGCAAGATATACATACTGAATTACCATTTCCCCATAAGCAAGCAATGTAGGTTTCCCAGAATCCCAACAAAAGTGCTCTTTAGGAAATAGCTCAATTTACGAAGCAGTATTAGAGCCTTTCATGTAAGTGAGCTTCTCATCCTTATTAATAAAACACTGTGTGCTTGGCTGCTGAAGTCACATTAATTTGTCTGTGTGTAACCCAAATATTTACTCTTCTAAAAATTGCTCAGAACTTTATCATTAATGCCTTAAAAAGAAGGGAACTTGTTGACTGGTGTGAGGAGCAAGTCCCAAGAAGGTACTTACCTAGATTTTTGAAGATCTTTATCATGCTGCATGTCACACTGTTTTAACAAAAGGGGTTTCTTAATTAGATAACAGTGGGACTATTGATTCCTCTTAAAGGGACTAGCAGGAAGAAAAATATAAAGTGTTACAACAGTGAAGCCAACTGCTATTTAGAGACAAGGTTGTTTGAAGAAGGCTTTCCTTTCAATAACTGCATTATTGAAATACAGTTGCTCAGGCTGCATTGGATGTAAAGTTTTAGAACAGAAAGTTGTGGCTAAGATGCTTTCTGCCAGATTTATGTACAGGGCAACTACACAACAAGCTTCAAAGATCTACTTTTTTATTTGCTAGGAAACATTAATTTTGCAACTCATGGCAGCAGAGGAAGAGGGTACTTTTTTTCTGTTCTACTAGCAGTGTTTGTAGAGCTCATTGCCTGCTTAGTTCTTGGACCTTGAGGTGGTGGTGCAGAAGGTAGTAGTAAATTTGCACCATGTTAAAATAGTGTTTGGTATAGCTCTTCTCTTCTGTACGATGGAATTAATCTTTCAGTTCTATTAGATGCACATGAAAGGCACTGTAACATTTCAACAATTCCCTAAAATATTTGTACTTGGTGGGAGGTTTTACTTCTGAGTTTTAAGATTTTATATTTAGAATTACTAAATTGCATTCTAACTGTGAAATGGGTGTAGGGAAAATATGTTTGATCCATGAACACACAAGGAAAAGCTCTTCAGCCTTTGTTAATGTAGGTCCTCCTCATTAACTGCCCTGCCCTGTTCTTAAGGGGACATTCCATTTGGCATCCTGAAGTAAGTAATACCATACTCAATTTCTAATTTTGTCATAGAATCACTCTTAACATGGACAGGTGGTAAATTTTTCTTACTATTTCCTCCTCATCTTCAAGTGAATCATCAGGAGATATTCCAGCCAAACATATCTCTCCAAAGAAAAAGTAGTAGTGATGGAGGTTGGAACAACATCTGACGTCCAGAAGAGATAGCAAAACTGCTGTCCTGTTTGTGCAACTGTCAAGCAGCATTACTGATATTATTATTTTGTCCACTAACATTTTTATAGCCTATAGGGCTCTGAAAAGTATTTGGAAGAACTGATGACACTTGAACTCCTGACCACTTGGCTCTGGGTATATTTGCCTAATTTGGATGTGTTTAGGAGGGAGAGTAGATCTCATTTAGCTTCCACTAAGGATTCTACTAGAAATGCATAGGTACCATGGACATGCTAGAAATGTATCTTTCAAAAATATTTTTGTTGTAGATTGTACAATTGCCTGATAACATCAAGCTTTACTTTCTTGTTTTCAGTCCTTGAAACATCACCATTATTTGTTGCTTAGTCTCTTCCAGATCATCCAAAGCACTGTTACTTCATAAACAAGGGCTCAGCAAAATCAGTTTTAGCAGGAGCCTTGGTCAGTAAAATCCCATTTAGCCATCCAAAGTGTGTGCCTGGTGTAATAGAGATTCTTCGACATCAAGTGGCATATAACACTCTTATTAGCAGCTGTGTCTCTGAGAAGCATATAAATGAAGGTAAATTGTGTGGCTGGAAGTGATGGCACAGTATTAGAGACAAACTAGTTTCTAAATTGGGTGTTGACAGATTTTACTACCCCCTTCCCAAAACTGTCATTACTTGTCAAGAACAGCAAATGATAAAAAATTCTTAACATTGTATTGATTTTTAAAAAAATTCTATGCTCATTTTATGTACATAAATGAAGTTGTCAAAGTCATGAAAAATTAGACTATTGTATCAGTATTTTTAAAATTCTGGCATGTAATTCAGCCAAAAAGAACCCAGCTTCAATGGTGGATATCACTAAACAGTATTTTTATTTTTAGATGATTCAGAACTGCTTTACTTTGAAGTGGTACCACACAAGAACACCAGCTTTTCTGTCTTTTTCCTTCATCCTGTGAAAGAGAATTTAGCCTGTGGTATGTGTGGAATAATTGCTACTGTCCTCTTTACTGAGCTGACAGGGGACTTGGTTCTACCTAGGCTCTTGCACTACATTTCTCAGTTACAAACAGTCTAAGGGCCACTCAACTCCGTTCAGCCCAGGAAAAACACCAAGTGCATGCACTTGTGTATAAACTGCTTACTCGAAGGTGTTTTGTACTCAGAATAATACAGAAAGTAAATGCAAATATTAAGGTCCTGTTTTGTCTTGGCCAGCATTTAATTAATAAATTGTAATTTCCACTATTTCTGATTTAAGTATATTAAGGAAAAGCAAGTCATGCAAATATATTGCTGCAAACCTCTTTCCACTGTCTTCAGTCTTACCATCTCTTCAAGCATCAAAATGAAAGGATGTTTTTTGATGTTTGTAAGTATTTCAAACCAAAGATTTTTCTTGTTCTGTTACTCCTTAGTGGTAATTGATGTTATAAGCTCTAGAGAAGTCCAATGTCACCTTCATTTAAATCCTCAAGATCCAACTCTAAATTCTACTGATGACTTTGTAGCAAGAGCTGTGAAACGGTAAGTTTTTTTATTTCCTAACAGATGTCCATCAAATGGAAATATCATGTGCATTCATAATGCCATGAACTAAGCAACTGGAAAACTTCACTTTAGTGTAATACAATAATGGGAATAAGTTATTTCAGTGTCTTAATTATCTCTTTCAAAAATTTTAAACATTAAGAGTGATGAAGCATTTCTAGTAGAAAGCATGTGGAAGCAAGGAAAGACTATTGAATAAAGAGTTCAACTTTTTATGAAGATGCTTTTCTGAAGACTAGCTGATAACAGTCTCATGACTAGTGTAACTTAAAATAGCATGGAAAGGTCTTTTTACACATCTTCCTAACAGCAATCAGTGCTTCTCTTCAGAAAGTGAGTTGTATTTGGCATGTCTACAACACTGACTCTGGCTTGTTTTCTGAACAAATTCCAAAAGAGTGAGTTGTTGTGATACATGAACATAGGCTAGACAAACTGATTCAGAACAGTCTAAGAGCACTAAGTGATTTGGCATAAGCTAGTATACATCTATTATCTGTTTGATGACAACAAAACCAATGCAGGTTGGATTTTGAACCTGAATTTAAACAAGGTACTATTTTTGGAACCAGGTTAAGAGTGGGAAAAAAACTCCTCCAGTATAGATGGTGTTTTAGAAAAGATACCTTCTGTACCTGTGTTACACAAAACATGAAGGTTACAATTACAAAACTCAAGAAGAATTAATATATTTCAAAATTCTTAGTTTTGGTTTTCACTAGAAGTACCCTTATGACTTTTTTTGTTGACCAGATTGACCAGACTGAAAGACCTCCCACTATTTCAGTCAAAGCTTCTGTGCACACCTAACTTCAAAGACTCAGCACTAAATTTCAGTGTGTCAACATATATTTCTGGTACAGCATATGTAGTTTGTATTGTGGTTACAAAGTAACACCAGGTTGTAGAAGACAAAACCAGAAAGGAGTTAATGCTGGTTTTCATTCAGGTGCCAGCCATAGTTTAAAAAACAGAAGTACTTTAAAGAGCATTGTATGATGTCTGTAGTAGTGACTAATGTGTCATTTCCTTCTTCAGTTGCATGTCAGTCCCAGTTGTCATGAGAGCTGTTTTCAGGAATGCTGCCAAGGTGAAAGCTGACAGTGAAACACAAGATACGGACACAGAACAACCTGGACCACAACTGGAGCAAACTACAGATTCTGACAGTCTCAAAGAAAGCCTTTCTGGTGCTGGTCAGCAGAGCAGCTGGGCAGTGAAAGATAAGCCAAATGATACAGAGACTACAGAAGAAAATCTCTCTACAGCCAAACTGGAAATTCTGGGTGATAACATAGAAAAAAAGTAACCCCTCGTTATACACTGAAACCTTGTGGAGGAAAGTAATTCCATAGCTAGTATAGAAGCTGATGTAACAGACAAAAACCTGATGGTTTTATAAGCAAAAATGAATCCTACTTAGTAATATGCGAATGGTATCTCCTCTTTGCAGACTTTTAAATATGGGAAAGTAATTCTCTTGAATCTGCATTTTAAAACATCCAAATCTGTAAAGTCTAACACTGTTCTATTAACCTTTATTTTGTCTTGTTACTGAAAAACTAAAAAATCGTAGTGGTAAACAAGATTCCCTCTAACACTGTCTTTTTTTATTGTTAGAGGGTAAGGTATTACTTTATTCTTGGTCAAGAGATGTGTTCCTGACAAAGTTCCAGCCTCAATGCTGATCCCAATACAAAACTTTTTTGCTTATTTATGCATTTTTTGCAAACAAATACATTAATGTTCATTGGTTTAATTTACCTAATTCTCTTCATTAATTAGTATTCTACTCCCTATTAGTTATTTATTTCTTTCTCTTCATGCTAATCTGGTCCACATTCTTTAATTCCTTCTTTTATCTTTTTCTCCAACTTTCCAGGCCTTAATCTCCTCCATATCTTCTGGTTACTCTAATGTCCTTGAAGGGTCATAAATTTAAGATCCCAGATGCCCAATCTTCAAATTCCTTTGCTTTGTTCATTGAAGACAGTCAGGCTTAGTTTTAACAAACTCAAGGTTTCAGTGATTTAATGATCAAAGTAGGTCTGTGAAGAAACTTAATTGGTGTTGGCTAAAAGTGGACACTGCTTACAATTAGTTAAAACAACTAATTAAAAATTAGTTAGGAAAATTATATATATATTCCAACACTGTCTGCACCATTTTCTACCAAATATGGAAAAAATCTGTGTTTTACATGATATAGTCTATAACACAATGCAGGCATTTGAAGAAAAGTAATGTTTATCACTGTCAATATTATGCTAAATAAATTGAAAAAAGTTACTTGAATGATTTTTGTATATACACAATTAATGCAGACATCCCTCTTTGTCCACTATTTCATAAATGCATTCAATCTAAGACTCTGAACTGCAGTTCTGCTTACCCCTGAAGGAGAAGTGGTACAGAAAGCAAACCAAAATTATAGTCTGTCAACTCTGACAGAGTAATGGAGTCTTTAGTAAGAATGTTGCATAAACTCAGGCTCTGAAAAACAAGGAATTTTTGCCTTTAAGTATGAAATGGCTTTGTGTGTTTTTTTTTTTTAAATTACAGTTTACTGTTCAAAATCTTACTTTGCCTAGGTCTGGACTTCCTTTGTTTGCAATATGAATGAGTTAAAGGAAACTTCCAACAAGTAAGCTGGGAACTTACTATAAATCAGTTTAATTAATGTGAAACAGAGGCATTTACAAAGAAAAAACTTCCTGAACAGAGCAATTTACAGCTACAGTGAAGGGAAGCAATGGGAAAGCAAGTCAAATATACAATAGTTACAGAAATACAAAATGATCAGAAATAGGCATGTGTGGCTGATGTGTTTCTAAGAGGTAGTGAATAAGCTTGGCTTCCTTGAAGAGTTTGAGAAAAACATTATTGGAATGCAGGAAAGAGTTCGGGCTAGATGGACTGACAAAATAAATACAAAAATAACAAAAGGATGTTCATTAGACTGGAAGCATGTTTAGTGTGGTCTGACATGGTAAGAGTAGATGTCTAAAAGTAAAACAATGAATTGGCAGCAATTCTGTATTTAAGGAAAATGGTATGTTTTCAGCAAAAGTGATGAATATAACTATACAAGGAGGGAAAAATAGTTTTTAACCATGAAAGTGCATTGCATCATGGGTAGAAAAGATAACACATAGAATTTGACAAAAAGTGACTACAGAGTCACAGCACTCTAGGAATCAGCAGCATTACATGTTCTATTTTGCATACAGCATATCCTCAACACCAGCTTATTCCACAAAAACACTGAGCATTTCCACAGCACTGAGCAGTTATTCTTTTGATATTGCAGGGGACCAATTTAGAGGGGCTATTTAATGGACCCGCTTCATTTCCAAGCTACTGCCAAGAAAAAAATGAGGGTGAAATGGGACCTCCTGACACAAAACAGAAACATGTTTAGTAACTCTTCGTAAAGCTTTAAAGTCACTGTCCCTTTCTTTGAATGTTACCTTTAAGGGTGAAAGTGAAGGGTTTTGTCCAGAGCCCAAATCATGGTGAGGATTTACAAAAATGACTTCTACTATAAAGCATCCAAATTAGATTTTCCTAAAGCAAAAGTGATGCATCAGCCTGTACATGGCCCACAAACTAAGAATCAAAATCCACTGTGATAGTTTGAAGTACCATGAGACAGAAAAACTAATGTTCCAGTTGCTGGACATGATGGAGTACATCCAGTGATAAGCCCAGTTGCTCTACTAACCAAACAGTCTGCATTTTAACCCAAGCAAGGGTTGACTTTTCAGGATCTGTGCAGAGGTTTGCTTTGCTGCACTCAGACTGCAATGAACCAACCTCACCATTATTCCTACAAGTGTTTTCACCGGAGCTGCCGCCACAGTCGTGTTTTCCATCTTTAACTTCCCTGTACTCTGTCCCAGCTGTGTGATTAAGGTCCATGTCCTGAACTGAGTCTAAAATGTGTCCAAGATGCGGCTGTTCTTCAGTAGAATTCAGATACTTAAGCACGTCATCTTCATGCTTTCCAACCACATCAAGAAGATTATTTATCATACTTAGAGCAGAATCATGTCCATTAAAATGACACCAGGATAAGAGAGCACTGAAAAGTGAACAACAACAAAAGTGATTATATTTATCAACGTAGATCTCCACTTGGTGGAGGCAGACAGACAGCAATGTGACAAGGTATCTATGCATCATAAATACATTTATGTATAATTCACGATTTATGGAAAATTCAGGCAGTAGAACTAAATATTAAGCTTAAATACATAGATTCAGACAATTTTAGAAGTGTAACTGAAAGAGAATTTTCAGAAATTATACTTCTACACCCAGGTAGGCATTCCCTGTTCTCGAGATGTGGGAATTCTCAGGTTGCTCACTTCGGACAGTTTTTTTTGGTTTGGGTTTTTTGTTTGTTTGTTTTGGTTGGTTTTGTTTTTTAATTAAAACAAACAAAAACCTGTATGTGTGTTACCCTGTTACACACCCTCCACATCCACTTGACCTTAAGGAGTTTGTAACCTACTTCAGGGTTCCTTTGAACTGGCCACATGTAATCATCAGCTCGGCACCGTGTCTGTAACCTTGATTAAAGCCTGTCTGGAGTGCAAGTTCTTTCCCAGCCTCAACTCCATCCCTATAGCCTTCCTGCAACAACAGCAGTGAAAAAGGTTGCTCAGTGTCACAACATGACAAAGTGGATCTCCAACAAATACATAACAATAATAATAAAAAAGTTTAAACAGGTATCACATCTCTTAAGTTACAGCTTCTATATCTGAACATCTTTCACTGCTACACCCCCACTGCCAAACCAAAACATTCTTGTTGCAGTATACTATGATTTACTGACCTGTAAGATGCAGTTTTTTACTTTTCCCAAAAGGATTCCCAGAAAGTGAGAAAAGAGGGAAACTTCCTTTAGAAAGATCAAAAAACCCCCCATGTTTGCTTTTAATGATTACCAACTGCTTTGTGAGAAATGGACTTAGAAAAAAGAAGTGTATGTGGTACTTCCATCTAAAAAGATATGCAGGCTGCCAATCTTCCCCTTTAACAAAGGTACTCTTCTATCTGTAATCCATCTACATGGAATCCATTTATTTTCACAAAATTAACTGCTGAGCATTGCTCCTTTATTTGCTGGACCTCACTCCATCCAAGAGCTATACCAGAAAAAGAGACAGTGATTGGTGATTGACTGAGTCATATATAAATACACTTAACATGGGGACTGCTTTCTTTAAGTAACCAGCTAATGACTGTAATGCAAATTACTTTCTTTATATTATAACAACATTACAAGATTAATAGAATAATTCTTAACTTTTTTTCATTTCAAAATTACAAGCTACAAAAGTGAAAACTCCTATTTGCTCATGGTGGCCCTGCTAGAAAAGTGGTCTGGAACACAAAAACTTATTCTGCCCAACATGCAACTCTTAACTTCAATAACACTTCATGATTTTGCAGTATCTACTCAAAAACACCAGAGGGATTTCTGTAAGAACACTAAACAGTTCATTAAGAAAACCAGTCTTTTCATGGGATTCAGATGAAGGAAACTCCACTGGGTCTGTTGCCCCACATTTAATAGGGCTATACCTACAAGTACAAAGCAAGTAGCTGGCATCACAATTCAGCACTGCCTTTTATAAATGCACATGGTTGTGCAGGAGTCAATGTCTTTAGGCAAAACAGTACTTTGCTCTGGTGACTACTAAGTAGTGTTTATGTACATTACTGCCATATTTTCCTGATACTCAGAAGAAAGTACACCACAATAACTTTTAAGCAGCTAGTTTTACTTTTCCCTTTAAGTCATTCACATGTATATCGAGTTAAATGTCAGTAAATCTAAAATGCTACAAAGTGTATTAAATAATTTTTACAAAAATACCTTCAATCTCTTTTTCATAGTACTGTTCCATTCCTTCTGTAGTAGATACATTTCATCTGCATCTTCATCAAATATATCCTCACTGGATTGGCTGACTGCTACTTGTACCCAGGACATAATAGCAGTGAACTATGACCCCTGTTTATGTGGTAAAAAACCACTTAGAAACTCTCAGAAGTGCTTCTGGTGAAGTGTCAGATTAGAAGTATTGGCAAAAACCTGTGAGCTCTGAAGAGAAGCCAGGTACGGAGCTGATTATTCAAGCTGTACATGGAACTCGGTGCTGTGTGCCATTGGGGTGCATCTGTCAAGAAAAGGAAGTCAGATCATAGTTCGTAAAGTAACTTCTGAGATATGTTAGGGCAACTTATCATAGCTCCTCCCCATCTTATGGCACGGACACACATATGGATGCCAGTATAAATACATATTTATGAATACTTATTTATGAATACTGCCAGTACAAGGACAGCTGGCAGAAACAACTTTTATGACTTGCTTCCAACAGCGGCTGACAAACGTCCCATACAGCCGCCACGTGGTGCCCTAAAACAAGCTGTACGTATACACACAACTTCGTGTATTTGTACCGTGTACACAACTTGTACACAATTTACTACACGCAGGTTAATACTTGCAGAAGTACTTTCACCTTTGATTTACAGTTTTCTGATTATGCCAAATACTTAGCTATCTCATAAAACAGAAGCAGTCCATTCTATTTTGAATAAAGAATTACCAAGTGCTGCTGTAGTGGAAAGGAGAATTTTTTGGGTTATTTAATCTTTTCCTATGACGAAAACTTTGAGAAGCGTCTCACAACTAATTCATTTGCCTCTAAATTGTTAGAGCACACGGACACTTCCTGTGTCGGGAAGTGTCCGGCGGCTCTCAGAGAACCCAGGGCTCTGGGACACAGCCGGCTGCGGTCCT